CGGCGACGACATGAAGGTGTGCTGGCTCTGACACTTTCCGACACGAATTTTGTACCGACGTTTATACTCCTCTGTGCCAGAATGGGGGCTACAGCCTGGTTGTTCCTGATACTGGTCGTCTGCGTACCTGTCCAAATGATGATCGCGACTGTACGGCACCGTTCAAGTTTCACACTTGACCAGGCCACCATTGGTATGCCCATCAATTGATCGAGATGGCTTCACCAACGTCCACGCCTGCGCCTACATCCCACTAGTATCGGACATCGCCTAATTTCAAGCTTATGTATCATAAATACACCCACACATCCCACATTGTGTGTATTTCATGCCGACCATGCTAGCGCCAGCCTTGAACTAACATGTCCAACGATCCCATCACAGGTAAGAGAAAACACCGGAGCCGCAACTGCCGCCAATAAAACCACACGATCGTACCATTCGAGTATTGCCCTCGAATATACTCAATGCTAAATACCAAGTACCTGTGTAAATGCTGTGATGCGCGCGATGCACTTACATCCCGGCAACACATCAGTTCAGCCTCTCAATTGGCTCAGTCGGGCGCTTATGCCGTGGTCAGCTTGCAGGCCTGGCGTGACGCGACCCTTCTCCCCGGCGTTTTATGTGGTGGAAGAGGCTGTACAAGACGTATTATTGATTGGGTTATTGCAAAAGTCGCTTGAAGAAGAGCTATTGTCGTCTTATCATGGCACAAGCAATGTACATTGTATTCATGGGTCTTGCATGAAACCATTTGATTCATCTTTACGAAATAACATGCAACAGACTTCATGAATCCAAGGAAACTACATAATTCAACACGTACCCAGAGACCTAGACAAAAATGATCTTCCAAAAAACACTCTTCTATCCCCATACTCAAGGCACTCACAAGACGGAAAGACTAGGTATACACACTCTCCGTCCAAGAATTCACTTGTAACCCCCTCTCCGCCATCTCTGCATCCTGCAAAAACATCATTGGCATAGACACCAAATGACCCCTGACCTGGGATAACTTGTGGCGTGCCTCCTCTGGAGGCATGAATTGATCATAGATGTGGCCCTGTTTGACACCTTTGGGAGGGAGGTAGCGGTCGTAGTCGTCGAATGTTTTGACTGTAGGTGGTTAGTAGCGTCTCTTTAGAAACATGAAAGAGCCTGCAGTGCTGGGATGGTTGCAAAGAACATACTGTGGTCATCGGGGTCTGCATGGAATACGTTGCGGAATATCTTTGTATTTTTCTGTGCTTGTCCCATCCAGGTATCCCAAAGCTGGTCGGCGAGTGGATCTGCCACAAAACTCCACGATTCGTCGTTATCATAGATGTCATTTTCGGGGTTAACAGTAGGGGGTTGGGCGTTAATGTCGTCCTTGGCATCGAGATCTTGTGGTGGCAGCAAGCCGAGATGTTCTCGCCAGAGATATCTTCGTAGAGTGGCTGCGTGATAGCCGGCTTCATATGGTTTACCATCCATCGTGGTTTGTATCTTGCGTGTATCTTCCATGACGATACTAAGTTCACTATCGTGGTCGCCGAGCTGACTTCTGTCATTTAGGTTGCTAGATCCGCAAATAACAATACGGTCGTCTGCAATGAGCAGCTTCGAATGAACATAAAGCTCTTCTTGAATCCAATTTTTGATCTCAGATTCTTCATCGTCGTGATTATCCCACGGTTCGTCCTGTAGGGAATACTCTGCCTTCATGGCATGATGCGCAACACTGGCTGCAGAAATGACTTCCTCTTCTGGCTTCTCCTGCTCAAAAATCTTTCGAGCGCGCTGGGCATCCTCAGCTGCCTTTTGTTGCGAGCTGGTCGTGTTGGCCTTCCGCTTCTCCCGATCGTGCCTGTGTTTCGGGTTCAAATCGTGAAATCTGCTGCCGCCTTCGCCTTCGTCTGAACTACTATCCTCGTACCCGTGGACACCGCTAGCCATGATCTCCTCGGCTTCAGCACGCTGTACTTGCTGATAACTGATACCAGTTTTCTTTTCGGCCTCGCAGATGGCGTGCGTCTTATTGAGACGGTCATAAGATCGCAGATTGAAGAAGAAAATATGCTGTGTGGGATCAACACCCTCTTTCTTGATCTGGCCAAAGATGGAATTCTCGCCACGGCAAATGGACTTGTATTGATAGTCCATGATGGCCCGTGTTCCGGAAGCAGCGTTTTCTCGAAGATCACCAGCAAATCCGGGAATGGCAGGAATAATAACGATGATGCGGAATTTGCGATCTTCCTTGGCTGCACGGACTACGGCATCTACCATGGCTCGTCCGATGGTATTGTGGATGGGTGACTGCTGGTCGCCGGTGGCGGTGATGAAAAACTGATTCTCGATATACACGTAGTGTTCAGCTTTGCGAATTACCTCGCAGTAGGCATTTTGGATGGAATGATCCGTCAAGATTCCGCTGGACCAGTCCGCACTGGATCGCACAAGTTGTGCACGAACAGTTCCTCTGTTATCAAGATTCTTGGTGCTCAAAGGCGAGATTGGGTGTTTGAGGTAGTCGCCAACAGGATGCTTAGGCCGCTGGACACCCACCAAGTCCTCATCCTCACCCTCCCGGCCTTCCAGCATTATCCAATCGTAACGCGCATCTCGCTTGTACTTGTCTCTCTTGATGAAGTTCCAGCGAAGAACAAAGTGTTCAGCAATGTCGTACACGCAAGGGCCAATAAGAGCCATGGAGACATCGTGCCATGGCATACGACCATATTCGGCCTTGCTCAACTCGTTTTGTTCCCAGTCGGCAACCTTTTGGAAGTCCATGATTCGATTGTTATTGAAGTCCTGTCCCGGCCAGATTTCCTCCGAGACACCTTCTGGGTGCACATCAGACAGTGGGTGCTGGCGAGCGTCCCAGCGACCAAAGCACAGGTCCAGGCCACCAATAAAGGCCATAGCGTAGTCGATGACGATGAATTTTTCGTGGTGAGCCCAGTACATCGTCATGTCTGCCGCATTCTCAAATACATTGTGATCAGGGTGTCTCATAACGCGAATATTGCCGTGACCTGGCGTTCCCTCTGGGCAAAGCGCATCCAAAGCATGTTTTGTATGGCGAGAATTGCATGTCAGCGCGGCCTCAACTTCTTTATAGACGGCCACGTAGATTTTAACTCCAGCTTCGGCTCTTCTTTTGAGAATTTGATCCAGTCGGAAATCCTGCTTATGGTAAGGAGGTCGCCGCAGGAAGAGTTCTGGTGACAGCCACCAGTCGCAAATGTAAATCGACTCTTGGGCCTGCTCAAGGGCTACAGAGACAGCCCAAAAATAGTCGCAGCCGTCGACATACCACTTGACTAGGTTTCCATCACGTTCAGGGAAGAAAGATTGAAATCTGTGTTGCTCGCAAATAGCAGAACGTTTCGTGTCGCATCGCTGCTCGTGCTCTTCATCATGGCGGTGGTCCTTATTGAACTAACGTCACAGGTCAGGACCAAGACTACCTTTGAAACAAAGCGAAATTCATAGTAGTCTCCTTTCGTGTACATACCAGATTTCCAAATTTACCAATTTGATGCCTATTGAAAACCAAGTGTCAGCTGTTTGGCTATCTCGGCGTCCCAGGATAATTCCCAGGTCTGTCGACGGCGGGGCCAAGTGACGTACTTTTTGTGAATTAAGGCGACCTTTGCATCGTGAAGCTTGGACTCGCTGAATTTCTCCTTCAGGTCGTCCATAAACCCAGAGAAGCCGCCCTGGCTGCCTGAAGTTTCTTGTTTCTCCGTGGCAGGCGTGCCGTCCTTGACGTCGTCGGTGCCGCCCATTGTTGCAGTGAAGCGCCGAGCGCGTTGGTAGTGGGGGAGCTGTCGCAAGCTGGCGCAAAAGCAACGAGCAACCCGTTGGCTCAGGATGGACGAGTAAAGAGGTAGTCAAAGTAAAAGGGGCTTACCTCTACGCGAAATGAGTTGAGATTTTTGTACCAAAATGCTATGGCCGAAGAAGTAAACGGAAGGGGTTCTCAAGACAAGGGGAGAAAAAAAGTCAATCGCTCAAGCCTGATGAGGGAGGAGCGACCTGGTAACTAGATAACTACCTACCTACTTAGACAACAGCTAGGCAAACTTGGAACTCTGGAAAGCGGGGTGTCCAAGTGCCCAGACGAGTGTCACAGATTCACCACGACGACGGCTGGGAGAAGTGACGTCAATCCACGCCGATGCATGTCCACTGACTGGTTCAGGCTGGGCAAGAATTGGTTGGATAGGAGGTTCAAAGGGTGATCAGCCTGTCTATGAACTTTATTTTCAACCATGAGGTCTGGTGCTCGAAGGCTCCCTCCACTGGGAGACAGAAGCCAAGCGCCTTCAGCGGCGTTGAGCTTTGTCGGCCGCGTCGTTGTAGTAGTACGTAATAATTCTTTTCAACCCACAACTCGATAGTTCTCACGTCTAGAGCTGGTGTAAACTGTTTCAATACCTAAAGCGAGAATTCAGGACAAGTAAACTCCTAGATTAGGTTCGAGTCTGTCCTTTGTAAGTACTTGGCGTTTAAACGCGTAAACCCATGGCCTCAGCTGTGGCGCATCTTTTGCCATCCAAAAAACGGACGAGGAGAGCTGGTGGGGCTCGACCGGGGGGCAGCACTAGATGAACAAGAATAGCATTGGAGCATTAGCATTCAGTACATGAGTCGAGGTCAGCACACTGTGAAGTGCAGCGACAGCACAGGAGCGGCCTTTGGTTGGAGGCCTTGCTAACCAGACGTTTTGTCCTTCGAGCCCAGAGGGAGGATGGCCCCTCCCGCGCAACCTCCTCCTGACTTTGACCCCTCGTTTGCCCCTGGCCCCTGCCCCATCTATACCCCACCAAAACCATCCGACCACCACCAGACGACAGCTCTCCAGCGAGGACAGCTCGACTTCCATCGTTTGACCCTTGACCGCCTCGCAGCCCGCAATACCTCCATTTTTGTTTACTTTCCAACTATTACTTTTTCTTTTTTCCTTCTCAAGTCATTCTCGAACACGCAATATCCTCATCATGTCTGCCCCTGTTATCCCCCCCGGTGGCACCATCGTGCAGACCTTTAGGCGGTCGTTTGTCGATGTCCCCCTCGACGCTGATAAGGGCAATGCAATCGCTACCACCGAGTTTCTCGATGCCGCCGAGTCGCTGACCACTATGTTTGGTATGATATTTTTTCATGGGAGAAGAAATGTATGCATGGGTAAGCATGGCTAACTCGTACAGATGTCATGGGCTCTGTTGCCTTTTCCCCCGTAAAGTCCGACATGCTCGGCAACGTCAAGGTTCGAAATTCGTACAGCCATGGCCAATTCGCCCAGAACCAAGGCTCATTGTTTATAGAAACTGCGTGACCGCCAGCTTGCTGCCCCCGCCGAGTCTGAAAACATCCAGGATCTTTGCCGAAACGAGCTCAAGACTAAGAAGCATACTGCCACCGAAGGTCTGCTCTGGCTTGTCCGGTACGGCTTCCCCGTTTACCCGAACAAGAACTAGCCCAAAAGCTAATGAATACAAGTGGTCTTGACTTCACCTGCATTGCCCTCAGCTCCAATGTCGCCAAGCCCTCTGAGGAACTCGCTGATTCCTTCCGCGGTGCCTATGGTCAGACCCTGAAGCCTCACCACAGCTTCCTCGTCAAGCCTGTCTTCAGCGCTGCCATGAGCGCCTGCCCCTACCGCAAGGACTTTTACGCCAAGCTTGGTGAGGATCCCGACAAAGTTCAGGATGATCTTCGTGTTTACTTGGCTGCGTTGGAGAAGATTGTTGGTATTTTGAAGGGTTTCTTGGACAGCAAGGAGGCTAAGTGGTAGGTTTTGCTGAGAAGCGAAACTAAATTATGACTATGGCTATTTTCTGTTGCATTCGAACGATGTACGAAACTTATATACGCATTACGGTGTACGACCTTCGTCGGTGGTTTTGGACGGGGCGTGGCTGTGGGAGCTATATCATCTTCAGACCTGCCATCTTTTGTAGTTGAGCGAGATGCAGCTATATCTATCACCACGAGACCAGTCGTCTTGCCGTACCCGAGGTGCTTCACGGGATCATGGTGCTTGAAGAAACTTTCCAGGGCATCAGAATATGCGTTGCCGGCTGTTCCAGCAATCCAGAAGCAACTGCACAGTCGGTTTTATCATTGTCAGCCCCGTGATGTCCAGTGCAGTCAGATATATTCAAGGCGCACGCACACAACTAATATTTCAAGTTGATTCAATGAAACGTTTCAATCGTTCATACAGATGCACCCAGTCCGTGTGCTATTTGTTCAGCAGCTTACCGCGGTGTACAAATCTCATTATGGCACGTTCTAATTCCAGGTCAGTACACTCAAACCTTGAAATTAAAGAAAGGGCAAATAACGCGACTCTCTTCTAGTATTGAAAAGCCCAAGAGGGAGAATATCGTGTCGAAAACGTCTCGAGTTTTATGATTCATGGGGAGAAAATCCATACTGCGATATAGTAATGCTGCAAAGCCTACGGAGTATGACTTGAAGAAATCAATGAGCCGAGAAATGTACACCATGCAAAAGAGTAAGTAGTATGAGCAGGTGTCGTCTGGTGGCAGGGAATTACATGACTATTGCATTGATAGACGCATAACTCGACGCAAAGACTTCCTCTTTCGTCCGGGTCCGGGTCCCTATCTTTGAACAGGTCAGCAGCGGCACGAAATGAGCGGTGGCGCAGAAGCTGAAGCGTCCACGTACGGAGTACAGCTTTCTGTGTAAAAGCGCCATGCCGGTTTCGTGCACCAATCAGATGTATGTGAATCCAACGAAAAGACCGGTCTGGTTTGAGGCTGGCGAGAGCCGGACGTAAGCCTGGCCCAAACGACATGCCCAACTCTATTGGTTCGTCGCATTCGTCGCAATGACCATCCTTGTTGGCAGGAAGGGGCTGTTATGTGATGTACATCTTCACGATTGCGGGCTCGCCGTGCTGCTTGTAGAGAAACGTCACTGGGTTTGACGACTTGGAGAGGGTGCCGTCTTGACCGACGACAGCTACCTAGGTATATATAGTCCGTTCCGCCGCAAAATCGGATTCTAAGGAACGAAACAGTCCTTTGCAATTGTCATCATCAGACCATCCGTGCCACCTTCCCTCCCTGTATTACACCACACCAACCTTCAAGCTTACATATCCCAGCAAGCTCATCAATTAAAATAGCAGCTCGTACCAATGTCGAAGCCTTTCCACATCGTCATCGTGGGTGCCGGCCCAGCAGGCCTATCCGCTGCCCTCGCACTCGTCAAACAACCGCCCGTCTCATCATCGCCTTTACACATCACCGTCCTCGAGCTCCGGGACGGCGTTCAAACACTCGGCGGTGCCGTCAATCTTACGCCCCTCGCCCTTCGGTACCTGGACTGGCTCGGCGCCGGAGACAAGCTTCGACCCCAGGCCTCGACCGTCTCGGCCATTGAACTCGTCGCCCACAGGACAGGAGGCTTATTGGGGCGTCTGTGGCCAGACGTTGATGCCATCAGAGCTCAAAGGCAACTCCCTGTCGAGGCTCTCAGGGATACCATCTACGAGCTATCGACGGGGAACGGAGAGGCAAAGGTAGACATCATATACGACGCCAAGGTCAGCGAAATGAGCGAGTTCGGCACCATTGACAACGGCGGCCTCAAAATCACCCATGTCAAGACGGGTGCCTCCCCGGGAAAACACACTCTAGAGGCAGATATCATCATAGGCTGCGACGGAATCCACTCCCAGGTGCGCAACGCCCTCATCGAGCCGGACCGCAAAAAGACGTACTCTGGGAAATGCACCACCTACGGCTACGCAGACCTCCGCAAGAACGGCGCCAAACCATCCGAACTCGTGAAGCCGTGGGTTCGCGCTGACGGATCCCCTCTCGTCACGGACACGACTCTTGTAACAAAGGGCAACGAGGCGCTCCTGCTGACGTATTACGAGCCGTCCCATGAGAAGCTGTATCTTGCATTTGTGAATGCCATGACGGAAAAGGAAGATGCGAGAGAGGGCTGGTCTGTTCACGGCGCCGACAAGGAAGGCATCAAGAGGAGTATACGGGACACGTTTCAGGGCGGCGCGCTGAAATGTCTCGGCGAGATTATTGACCTGTGTGACGAGTGGTTCTTTTTCCCAGTCTACATGCTCCCGCAAGAAGGGCATTGGTGCAAGGGGAGGGCTATCGTTATTGGAGACGCTGCACATGCTGTAAGTCGTAACTTTGGCTGTCTGACATGTCGATGGTTTTTTTTTCCGCTCTCGCAAGTGTGGAGGAGCAACACCGCCTCCCCCATTCACCACCAACATTTCCATTGTCCATATGATATACAATGGCCTAACAGTGTCCAGATGCCACCCCAAGGCGAAGCAACAGGCGTCGCCATCGAAGACGGCGTTCTATTGGCCCGCGTGCTAAGTCGGCGAGCAACGAGAGATATTCCCACGCTGTTCAGGGATTACGAGACTCTTCGCCGGCCAGATATTCAAGAGACTTACAAGGAGACTATGGCGAGATGGAATGCCCCTGTCCCAAAGGCCTGGATGAGTGGTTTCGTTATGGAGTGGTTGACGTGGGGATACTTGAAGCTCATGGGTATGAAGACGGATTATTTCGGTCGTGATGTGAGGAACAGGGAGCTGCCTGCGTAAATGATACCATATTTGTGTTATTCTCCTGCATGCGCAACTAATTCATCGACACCTTCTTCATTTCTCTCCATGATATTCCAGTATACTAACTAGAGGAGCCGACAAAATTCCTCCGAACTTAATTCCTATTGCAGCTCAACGCCAGAATCCCGTTATTGATGGCCCATCATGATCATATCTTGCATGCCATTCATTATATTTACAATATGCAATGCTCCATATCGTACAATGTTTATTCCGTATACGCCCGGCGCAGTACTGAGTCCGACTCTCCAGCTACCGTGCTGACCTTGATCTAATCGACAAATGTCTAGGTCGTCTAAAACGCGGTCGTCTGGTCCGCATCGAACTTGTAGACTCTTGATCTGTCTCGTTATCTCGACCCAGCCAACGAGCAATACTCTCCGTTGCCTTGGCATATTCAACAAAGACGCTGTCTTTTGGGGCCATTGGCAGAGGTTTATCCCAAGCATGTCCCTCTCCTTCGACAACGCGAAGGGTAAACGGCACGTCATGCTGGTCCAGTCGCTCTACAAATCTAATACCCTCGGCTAGTAGCATATCGTACTCACACAATACCATATGGACATGAGGCAACTTCTTCACAAGGTCATCTGACATGAGGCCCGGAGACATTCTAGGATCAGTCCGCTTCTCTCGCGGAATTGGTGGAAAGAAATAGGAGGCGTCTATAAGATCTGTCATTCCGGGGGACAGGGTGCGTTCAGGCCGATTACATGTCTGCCGCTTCCCAGGGCGAGTGATTGTGACATCCAGCGTAGGATAGAAGAGAACAAGGCCGAGGATGGACGAGGCTGGGCTTGGAAACTGATAACTCCATGGAGACGGGTCTTGCAAGACGATCCAGCTGGTGAGGGCATTGGTTGCTCCCGCGGAGAATCCAGACAAGATGATGCGGTCCGGGTCGATGCCAAACTCGGATGCTCTAGACGCAATTTGCAGGATTGCATCCACACAGTCTTCCATTGGGGTTGGAAAAGGATAGCTGGGGGCGAGCCGGTAGTTGACGGTGAAGACCACGGCATCAACATCGCACACGACAGCACCGGCCCATCTTGCATCATCGGTGCCTTGACCAAGAATCCATCCACCACCATGCAAGTTGATGACGGCGGCACGTGGCCCGACAGAGATCCTCGGAGGATTCCACACCTCTACCTTGATTTTCTTCCGACCCTTCCATTGGGACAGGGTTGAATCAAGCCAGACCTCTCGTGAATGATATGGCGCGGGCGGATCTGAACGGTTATGAATGCTGAAACCCAGGCTCGCAGCGTAGCGCACTGTTTGGGCTTTGGCCTGCAGGTACCATCGTGAACTAGCCTCGAGAGGATTTTCGTAGTCTGGGCCAATGTCCGGAACTGCCGGGCTTGGCGCCCTCGTCGAGATAGTTGATGTGTTGGTGAGTGTGGCTGGCGCTGAAGTTGTCCCCGTACAGGTCACGCTGCGTTTCAGTGCGTCCACGCGTGTCTGAAGCTGCTGGCCGGGCACCTGTAGCAGTTGGTTTTCGAGTTGGGAAAGGTCCATTTGATCCAATCCGGGGCTTGCTGGAAGGCTCGGAAGCAGACTTGCAATTTGTGTGTGGGGGAAGGCGACTTTGACAGGCTATCACAATTCCGCCTGAATCGCCCAGCCATGCAGTGACCGACCGAGGGTCAAGCAAGCAAACACCAACCGATATTGGATCTCCTGCTAGACGGTGGGAAAGATAACAGAATGGACAAGTCCAGTAGGTTGAACGGTGGTTTGGGGGTCAATGGCAACTATTTGTTCAGTCTGGAGACCGGATTCGGAACGGGGCTTTGCATCTTCTTACTTGGCAAGGGCTCAGGGGAGGTGACGACACGCAATCGCTGCGAGTATTCTTAGTAAGAACATCAGGACGGGTCTGGCGGATGTTGACGAGCAGCAGGGGACGATGGTTGAACAAGCGCCGCTTTCCGGAGGTACAATACGTCTCAAGTGCTGGTAGCAGAGGAGGAAGACCCCGCCATCCGCCTCCAATAGAGCGCTGGTCTTGCCTCCAATTCAAGTGCCGCTTCGAACCTGCGCAGCGAGTCGCTGCTTCCCTGTTCTCTCAACCAACATACCAGGTACGTACACCCCTTTGACTGCGTTAAGGTGGTGTCGCCTTTGTTTCCAACCCATAG